GGCTGCGCACGCCAGGAGTGGGGGCTGGAGCGGGACCCCCCCCCCCGCTGGACCCCGGCCATCGCCGCGTCTGTCACAAGCGAGCCCGAGCGCGCCCCGCGGCGACGCGGGGACCCCGAGGCCCGTGCGCCGCGGCTCCTCCGGGCAGTCCACCGCCCTGCGGCTCCGGCGGGGAGAAACGGCAGCGCCCGGACTCCGGCTTCTCGCCCACCGACCACGCCTCCCAACTTCCTTCTCCGGCTTCGCCGCAGCGTGCTGGGCCCGGGCTGCAAGTCGGCCGCTCCCGGATGAAACCCTGTGCGCTGGTAAAATGATTCTTAGGGGTCACAGTACTTGCTGGCCTGCGGTGGAACCTGGAGCGGACCCCCCACGCGCTGCGAGCTGGTGCGCAGGCAGGTGCGGGCGCCCGCGGAGCCCGCTGCCGTCTTGGACCGGGGCTGGAGGGTAAGTTTTCCCCGGATTTCCAGCTCCGCGCCCTGTGTGCGGGCGCTCCAGGCCTTGTCCTGGCTGAGAGGTCGCCTTTTCAGACCTGGACTGCTCGGTCAGAGCTGCGCTGCTGGGGAATTTGTCTGCCCTAGAGAAAAACCTCTGAGAAACGGGCCCCCAGAAGTCACAGGGCTTTGGGGGACCCCCCCCCCTTTCTGGGACCTCAGCCGGTTCTGTTTTTAAAACGGCCGTGCCTCCTCATGTGCAGTTCTCACTAAATGGACTGAATGAACCAAAAGTAGCCAACCAGGGGAAATAAACGACCCTTTGGCACGTTTCCTATACTTGTCTATGATGGCACTATGGCAGAGTCTGGGGACACTGGTCATTTGTTCCCACAGGGTCAGGTACCATGCTCTTTACGGGCAAAATCCTCGGCTGATTTTGGCAGAATGCACAGTGCACCTCCCATCAAGATTCAAAGAGATCCCTCAAGACCTCTCCCCAGAGGAAAAACAACAAACAAAAAAACCTACCCACAAAATTAAATACTCTAGAAACAAAGAAGCCCTTCAGGGCCACAAGCGTACAAAGCTCAGGGCCTCATTATCCCCTGCACTAGTCCCTGTAACACCCATTTTACCTGTGAGATGACCAATGGCAGAGGCTGGAGCTTTGTCCAGTTCCTCTGAGAAGCACCCTGCTTTCTTGACCCCATGTGCTGCTGACATCCATTCCCACCGACAGCGAACTTCTCACCGTAACTGACCTACAGGGTGCATTTTCTAGTATTCCAGCAGGTAAGCTAGGCTATCGTTTTGCCTTCAGCTGGACAGAAATGCCCCAGGGTAACAGCCCTTCTCACTGTTCGCAAACCTCAGAAGCTGAATCAGATGATACAAGGTTTTCTGCAGGCTACACTTTGTTGCAACATGTAGGTGATTTGCTCTTCTCCCTTTCTCCAGCCTCTTCACAGGAGGCAGCATCCACCTGTTAAGACTTTTAGCTTTAATAGGACATAAAATCTCCAAAGAAAAACTGCAGTTTGGGACGCCTGGGTGGCTCAGTCATTAAGTGTCTGCCTTCAGCTCAGGTCATGATCTTAGGGTCCTGGGATCGAGCCCCACATCGGGCTCCCTGCCGCTCCCCCTGCTTGTGCTTCCTCTCGGTCTCTCTCACTCTCTCTGACAAATAAGTAAAATCTAAAAAAAAAAAAAGCTGTGGCTTGTTTAAAAAAAAAAAAAAGAAAAACTGCAGTTTACTCAAACTCAATATTTAGGGCGCCTAATTTCAGAACGATTACATTTGGATCCAGGTAGACTTCGAGGCCTCCTGAACTCCTCCAAACTTACAGGCTTTTTGGGACTGGCTGGCTACTGTCACAATTGGACCCCAAACTTCTCTCTTACAGCTCAGCCTCTATGTGCTTTGCTGAAAATGCAAACCTGACCCTATTATTTAGAAAGATCAGGAAGACATAGTTTTGGGGACTTTGAAGAAAAGCCTGATAAAACCCCCTGCCCCAGACATCCTAATGGTGGATTTCCTCTTTTCCTGTTTGTACATGAGAGGGAAGGGGATGCCTTGAAGTGGTCAACACGAGCATCACTGCCGCGTAAGGCACTGTAGCCAAGAACTCGACCCTGTAGCTCAGGGATGTCCTCCTTGGCTCAGAGGCATTCCTGCCACTGCCCTTGGCTAGACCCCTGCAGAAATGGTCACGGGGTTCTCTAACCATCCTTATATTTTGGGCAAGGGCAAAACCACAAACATTTATACCAATAGTCAGGATGCCTTTGGGGTAGCTCATGACTTTGGAATATTACAGAAACAACAAAGTTTCCTTACCTGAAATAAGCATAAAATTAAAAATAGCTCCTATGTCCAAAATGTATTAGATGCCATACGTTAGCTGCTCGTTAAAGCTCCCGGGCATTCTGGGCTCAACTCCCTAGAGGCCAAAATAATAATCCTGCTGACATTTCTGCCAAAATGCTGCTCGGTCAGTGGAGCGTGGGACTCTTGGTCTCAGGGTTGTGAGTTTGAGCCCCACACTGGGTGTAGAGATGACTTAAAATTGAAAGAAAAGAAAAACAATAGCCAAGCCTCTGTCATGGTCCCAAGCGACATTCTCCCAAATGATAATTTCAGAATACCGACCAGAGGTGCCCAAACAACCGGCCCCCCAAAAAGGAAAATCTGGTAATAGCTGGTTTCATAAAAAGAGAACTCTGGTTGGACCAAGTAACAATCTGGCCCTACCAGAAATCCTAGAGTCCCCACTCTACTCACACTCACCACAGTATGTACGTTAAACCACTGGCCTACTGACAAAATGATGGTGTTCACGAACCAGTATGGGTGGGAAATAATAAGGCCACAAAGAGAGCCTGCTTCGCTCATCCCACCTGTGTCCACACAAGTGGATCTCCACAGCTTCCATGTCTCGTGGTTCATGCTTTCTCACTGGATCGAAGCTTTCTCTTCTAGACGGGCCAGTGCTGCTTCTGCGGCTAAAATTCTGTTAGGAAAGATTGTCCCTACCCAGGGAACCCCTCTTGAACTTCGTCGTGGTCGGAGAACTCATCTTACTGGCCAGGCGCTTCAGCAGGCCTGCGCTGCTGGGCAGGCCTCACCTTCATTCCACCCCCCCATCCACTTTCCCCGCATCAGTCCCATGCACCACCAGCACTGGTAAGCCTCAACTAGCAAAATCTGCAGCCCCTCCAAAATACCTGGGCCAAGAGCATTGCCGTTGGTCCTTCTAACCCTCAGATCTGGGATCTCCCAGACTCCCACCTTCGAGATTTCCAGGACGTCCAATGCACTTGGCCCCTGCCTCCTCTGACACGTGTTAATAAAAGGAGATATACTTCAATACTGTTCGGGTCTAACTGCTTCTATTAAAAGTAACCATGCTTTGGAGCGCCTGGGTGGCTCAGTGGGGTGAGCATCCGACTTTGGTTTCGGCTCAGGTCGTGATCTCCTCAGTGGTGAGCACCACGGGGGAGGCGGGGGATGCTCAGCGCTCAGCGGGGAGTCGGCTTAGAGATTCTCTTCCTCTGCCCCTCCCCCCCACTCTCTCAAATGAATAAATAAATCTTTAAAAAAACAAGGTAGCCACGCTTTGGTAGAACAATCTACACAGTGAGTTCCTGGGAGATGGAGAGGGTGGCCTTAAGCATCACACCTTGCAACCTGGACATTTCACTTATTGGAAAAGACACCTCCACAACCTTGCCAGAAAGGCCCCTCTCAGGATCTGCTAACCAGCCCTTGTGCCACCAAACTCCAGGTAAGAGACTCTTGGATCCATGGGACATGTGTAGAGAAAGCACCAAAGCCTGACCGGACCCAAACACCAGCTGGTGACCCGGAAGTAAAGACCTCCTGGACTGAAACAGACATTTGGGGAGGGCGCTGTCCTGAGATGTACAGACCAGGCCCGTGTGCCTTTTCCTCCTTTCCCTTCCTTTTGGGGGAAGACAGTGCCCTTCTGTGGATCTCCCAAGCCCTGTGGAAGGGGGAAACCTCTTTCGATTATGGCCTTGCAGAAACAGCCTCACCATGATCCCAGGACAAATGAATTTTCCACTCACTTTTTTTTGAAGGGTTAGAAGTTTTCTTCAGGATTCACAAAAGTCCCTCTTTCATCGGACCTAGTATCTTACACTGGATTCTTACCCAAATTCAGTCTGTGAATTTGCCACCATACAGGCTGTTACTGGATAACATTTGTTTTCAGTTCTTTTGAGATAATAGTACTGTTTTAATACATCTTTGAGGTTTTGCTGTTTTTGTTCAGCTGTTGCTTCATTTTTCCCTAAACACACTTGGCTAATTGTTTTCATGTGCTCTTGCAGTACGCCCCTCCTCATAGGAACTTCCAGGAGGCACACAGGATTCTGGGTTTGCCTCCCTAGGGAGAACTTTCTCCCCTAAATTGGAATGAGTGCCAATAAATATCTTCACTTGGCAACTGCAGACCTACAGTCCGGTTTAGAACCACCATACAATTTGGGATTGTTATATTACTTCTGTTTTGTATAGCTATTTTGAGTTTTGTATTTTGTTAACTGTCAAACTTTTGTAAAAATGATGTGCCCACTATGGAAATGATCTCCAATACTTGTAACCTTGAGAAGATGTAGACTTTAGACGGGAAGTGCCTGGCAGTTCTCCCTCCTGACCTCCCGTCTGACTCAAATGTGGCCTCAAGTGGTTTCCAACTGGTACCCACGTTCCCTCTGCTGTAGGACAGAAGAGCCCTTCCTGGCATCAACAGACAAAACCACTAAATACAGAAACCCTGACTCTTGATCAGTGACGCTTTCAAAGAAAGATCTTGATCAAAAGGAGGGAAATTTGGAAATTAATAAAGGGAAACTCTCGGAAGTGGGCTTGGGATGCTAGAAGGGGAGGCCGGAAGGAGAAGCTATACCACTCCATGCCCATCCCAGGAACAGTCGTCGATTAGAGGCCCAACAGAAGAATCAACAGCAAAGAATCATCAGAAAATCATCATCATCCTGAACTCCTGCTTTTCTCCAAGAGATGTTCATTCAGAACAATCCTTCCCAGCTTCTTCCTTCTTCTCCATAAAATAACGTTCCTCTTTGCTTGTTGGACTTGCCTAGGGTTTTGCCATAGTCTACTTGTCCCAAATTGCAATTCTCTGCTACTCCTGAATAAACCCATTTTTGCTGGTAAAATAACTTTTATTTTTAAGGTTAATAGAAGTGTGGGAAATGAGGATGGGGCCATCCGTGAAGAGGTGGGCCACTGGAGGGGGGCTCCAGGTCACTGCCGTGGACAGAGTGTCCCTGACCCAGTGCCCTGGACAACTCCATAGCCCGGCCCTCTGCACAAAGGCCTCAGGCAGTGGGGTACTGGCGAATGTTTAATAAGTGGCTCTTGGGGGACTAACTTGTATTGTCATTTCTGGGGTGAAAAGACTTCCAGCCTGGCCAATTTCAAGCCACCAGGTCACAGAACTCAAGAAGGAGCTAGGAAGAAATGTACAGTCAGCTTGTCATTGCGATGAGCAGGTTCAGGACAGCACCTCACTCCCTAAGACATGAGCCCCTCTCCCCACAGAGCTCCATGGCAGGACTATCCCCCTAGACTCCCCGGCGTTCACCCTCAGCCCTGCCCCCCAGCCTCACCGGCCACCTGCAGCATCTTCCACTGTGCTTCCAGCTGCCCTCTCAAGCGTATCAGGGCCTGCAGGTCCTCGGGGGAAGCCACGGAGAAGGGACCCAGGCTGGGGGGTGCCTCTCCATGCAACACCCGGGCCAGGACCCCCACAAGCTGGGATGTGGATTCCTGGGCCAGGAGTAGAGGTGGAAGCAGCAACTCACTGGTCTCTCCCCACCTCCCACCTCCCACCCACAGCACGTCCACCCTGCCCAACTCACCTGCTCCACTAGGACCAAGATTCGGCCCCCCGCTGGTCCCCGTAGAAGTGCAGCCAGGAGTGCAGCTTGGGGGTCCTGGAGGCCATGGGCTGGTCCCAGTGCCACCAGCACCAGGTCAGGCTGGAAGCCATAGGCCAGGGGCAGCACAAGGGCCAGGATGCAGCTCAAGAATCCACCTGTCGTCTGTGGGAAGGACAGCAGCACCGCTCCAGCCCCTCAGCCAGGGGTCACCCCACCTCCCACAGTCCCGCCAGGAAGGGCAGGTGAAGGCCAGGAGCGGCCCCGAGGGTGCCAACGAGCGGCAGCCGCCCTACCCAGGACCCCACCACTCACCCCTGGCAGTGGCACAGACACGTGGAACGTGGACAGGGCAGCCGCTTCTTTGCCTCTGATGTTCAGCCACAGATTCCTCCTTCCAGGGGAGAGTGAGCACGTGGGCACACATGCAGGGGTGTGGGATGCGGCTCACCCTCCAGAGCCCAGACAGCAGAAGGGAAGGTGCAGGAGACCCTCCCAGGAGCTCCTCTGCCAAACTCCAGCTGGGGAAGACCCTGCCCACCCTCCCCCGTGGGGACCCAGGAGTACGTGCCCACCCACACACACGACAGGGTGCACACAGGACCCGAGTGTCCTACCCATCACTGGCAAGGTCTGGGGGCCGATCCAGCTGTCCCGCAGCCACACAGAGCACCCTAGAGGAAAAGGTGGCCCCAGGACAGGCTGCACGCACCCAGCCAGGAATCCACGCTTAGAGCCCTCCCCATGGGACGGGAAGCAGGAGCGGTGTGGCCCTCCAGGGCGGGGGTGCTCACCTCTGGGCTCTGTGGGACAGGCCGCACCGAATGGCCACCTCCAGGGTGGCTGCTGCAGCTGGGGTTGTTGCGATGCCACCGCTCACCTGTGGGGGGCAACCCCCAACCAGGCACAGAGTCACATCCATCCCTCCTCTTGGTCCCTGTCTATGGAGCTGCCATCTGCACAACCTGAGCTCAAACTGCTCCCCTTCTGGAAATAAGATGCTTAAAACTACACTTGAAATCATTGCCTTCACCTCACTGTCAGAGAGTATTTAGTTAAAACGACTGACTGAGCCTGAACTTGTGACCCTGTCCCTAAGAGCTGTTCTAAAAGGGTCCATGTGGCTCTGCACCACCCAGCCCTCCCTTGGACAGGCCATCTGTTGTGGGCAGGTCCTGGGCTCTGCCCCCAGCTCCATGGCCACCCTCAGCCCATCCCAGATGCCCCCACCTGTCCATCCAGGATCCCGTTCAATAGATGCAGGACCTTTCCAAGTGCAATGAAAGCCGTGTCCTCGGCCAGAGCCTCGTGGAGCCTGTGGTGGGAAACCAGAGGGACATGTGGACAGGAAGTGACGCCGACACCACAGCGCATGTGCACCCATAACCCCATCCCTCTCCCCAGGCCCGCTCTGCCCACCTAGCCCAGGCCTGTGTCTCCTCCTGTGGGGCTGACCCCTCTTGACGGAGAACATCAGGGGGTAGGACCAGAGCAGCATCCTGAGCTGTCAGGGCGGCAGCTGTGCGGACAGGGGGTGTGGGGTAGAGGTGCGGCTGGTCCAGGAGGGACCTCAGTACAGCCGAGGTCTGGGCCTCTGCTGCCTTGAATTCGGGCCCCCCAGGCAACACAGGTGGGCGTCTCCCCTCTGGGGAGCAGGTCCTGGGGTCCAGTAGGGGGGCCGGCCCTAGGGAGTGGTTCAGAGTCAAAGCCACTGCGCGGGAGCCCGGGGAGTGACCCTGCCGCCCAGCGTGGGCCACACTGACCTTGCTGCTGAAGGCTAGTCCAGTGAGGGGCCTGGGCTGCCCGGACACTCTGGATGGACTCCAGAGCACTGTGGAGAGAAACAGGAGCAGTAAGGCCTGGCCTGGAAGCCCCAGCCCTTCCCAGCCTCCTGCCCCATACCTGTGCTGAGGCACCATGGACCCTGACAGGGGCGGGGCAGGGTCACCCAGCAGCGCCTTCACCACCATGCACACCGACTGGGACAGTGACTCCAGGTGGTAGCCTCCCTGGGAGCAGGGCGAAGGCACACATGAGACTAGACAGGGCTGTCAGTGGGGCGGGGCGCCACCATCCCAGGCAGGACGCCCCACCCTGTAGAGCAGGCCCCCCCGAATGCACCTCGACACCTGGCCTGCGAGCCCTCCCTGCTGCCACAGTCACCTCCAGCACAGCACAGACCCGGCCGCCAGCCAGCACCTGCAGCAGCTGCGTGAGGTGGGCGAAGCACTCAGGCGTGGCCTGCATCTGCCCCTGGAACCAGAGCCAAGTGTGAGGGGGCCTGGCCCCAGGGCCCCAGAAGCCCTCCCCAGCCAGGACAGGCCCTCACCTCAGGATCCCCAATTGCTGAGTCAAATCCTGCCGAGATGAGCACCAGCTGAGGGTCAAACTGTGGACAGGGCCGGGGGGGGGGGGGGGGATGGGCAAGAGAGAGCCTGGAGCAGAGGTGAAGGAGGCCCCTCCAGAGAGTGCTCCCCACCCACAGGGCTCTGCTCTGGGGAGTCGGGGGAGGGGGCATGAGGGGGGCAGGGGATGACGCCTCTGAGCACAGACTCCCCCTCCCACACTCCTCCCCCCAACACCACGCCTACCCCCCATGCAGTTACCTCAAAGGCCACAGGGAGCAGCACATGCAGGAAGGCGGCCATATAGTCAGCATTTCCCATCCCAACCTGTGGCCACCGGGCATCAGAGTTGGGCCCTGTGTGTGGGGGGGGTGGGGCTGGGGTCTTCACCTCTGGGGCCCAGCCTCTGGGGTTGACCGTGGAAGGATGCCCTGGACTACATTCAGGAGGTCTGGGGCCGTGGGGCAAGGGGTGAGGCCTGGGGGCGGGGGGGGGGGGGGGGGCGGCCCCTGGGTGGGGGGGGGGGGGGGGGAGGGGTGGGCACCTGGTTCCAGGGCAGGTTGACAGTGAAGCCACGGCCCTGCCCCAGCCCAACGGCATCTGCATCTGACTCTCGAAGATAAGGCCAAAAGCAACCATGCTCATAGCGGTGCCAGGAGAAGTAAAGCACACTGCAGACAACCAGCCAAGGTCAGAAATTGGAGCTCAAAGGTCAGGACCTCAGCCCCATGGCTCCCAGCAGAGGATCCCAGCTCACCTGGGATCATCCTCAAAGATATACTGGATGCCCTGACCATGGTGGACATCCCAGTCGACAATGAGGATCCTGCAGACAAGGCAGTGCAGAGGTCACTGAGGGGCAGGGCCTCCAACCTGGGGGCCTGAGCCCACCCCAAGAGGGGAAAGGATTGAACGGGGTCTGTCAGCAGCCCGCTCCACCGCTTGCCGTCTGGCCTGGGCCCTGCCCCCAGATAGCCCAGGACACACCTTTGCAGACCGTGTTTCTGCTGGGCGTGTTTGGCTGCTATGGCCACGTTGTTGAACACGCAGAACCCGTTGGCAGCAGCCCTCTGGCTGTGGTGCCCAGGAGGTCTGCGGGTGAAAACTGACACGTCAGGGTCACCCTGTGCCCTCACAGGCCCCCACAGCTGGGGGCAGCCCAGAAGGGGACAGCCCTCACCTCACCAGGGCAAGCCCATTGTGCGCGGATCCTGTGAGCACAGCATCCACCAGCTGCAGCGCGGCCCCCGCGGCCAACCGGGCACAGTGGAAGGTACTCTGCGGGGGCAGGGGTGCCGATGAGCCCCCCCCCCCCCCCGCACAGGCTCTGCCCAGGCCTGTGCCCGGCTGCAGGTCCCAGCAGCAGCAGCTGGTCAGGCATGCAGGGCATGTGCACGCTGGTGACCGGGGGCACATGGGCCAGGGTCAGCAGCCGCAGCCATGAAATGGGCACGGGCATGCAGATGTGCATGTGTGGGTGGGGTGTCTCCAGGGCCTCACCGGATGAAAGTAGACAGCATCGTACTGCCCAGACAGAGCCTGTAATTCCTCTGTACCCAAGGCCTGGGTTCCTCGCAACAGGGACACGTACTCTGGGCTGCAGAGGGGCAGGCAGGCAAGGCAGGGTCACCAGCAGGAGCCGGAAGGGGAGAAGGAGAGGCCGTGCGCTGGTGGGGCCACCCACCTCACGGTTCCCTCCCCAACCCACGCAGTGGTGAAACTAAGATAGGTAGGGGAGATGCTCTGTTTTCAAGATGCCGGCAGGCTGGGCGGCCCCACGTGCAAGGCGGCCTCCTCTGGGGCAGGTGGCTCCCTGGGGTCTGACCTGTGTACCAGGCCCAGCTCTGCCTCTGAGGCCTCTCGAGCTGCCAACTGTAGACACCTCTGCTCCAGGCCCCCCTGCTGCAGGCGCTCGAGGGCTGCGGTCAGGCGCTCGGGACGCTCGATCTCACACTCAGGGCTGCGTGGACACAGAGCTTAGCGTCCAGAGCCCCCTCTCCACCCTCCCCCCTCTATCAGCTCACACTTACTCTTCCCAGAGCAGCCGGGCGGCTGTCATTTCCTCATGGTACACGAGTGCGGTCCTCATGGCCCAGCCGCCCTGGGGTGGGGGTGCGGGACCGGTGAGTGCCTGCTCTCTCCTTGCAGCCCCGGGGAGCAGCTCAACCCCTGGGCCACATCTGGGACGGCGCGCACGGAGCCTAGGCACGAACGCAGAATCCACGCACGGAAGGAGGCCGCGGGGTCGACCGGGTGGCTCCCAGGCACAGGTTTCCGGCTTCCTCAGACTCGGACCCCGCACAGTCCGGCCCCCGCCGCCCAAAGCCCCGCCCCGAAGGGCGGCCTGACCGGAGGGAGGGGGCAGGAGCGGGAGTGGCCTGGCGTGCGAGGGGGCAGGTGCGCGAGGGAAGGGGGAGGGAGCGGGAGGGGGCGGGGGTGGGTGTGGGCAGGTGTACGAGGGGGCAGGTGCGCGGGGAGGGGGAAGCGGGAGGGGGCGGGGGCGGGGACCCAGGGCCAGTGTGCCCCGGACCCCACGGACTGTCACGGCGGCACCACTGAGTGTCCCGGTCCGCCCCCAATCTCCCCCAGACCCACGCCGACCGCGCAGGCCAAGGCGTCAGACCCGTCCGCAGCCCATCACGTCTGGCGCACGCCAGGGGCCCGTCCTAGCCAGAGCTCGAGAACAGCAGCGAGCGAGGCGGCGAGGCCAGGGCCCGCAGGAGCAAGGCCGCAGGCCGGAAAGCCCCCGTCCAGGCCGCGTCGAGCTGTGAGGAAGTGGCAGGGCCCGACTGAAGCTCCAGAGAGACCCTGGCCGAAGAGCAGAGTCGAAGGGTCAGGGTGGTGGCAGAGACGCTGGACAGGGGTCGCCGAAGTGTGGGGCGAGGCAAGGCAGAAGGCCTAGCGGAGGGGAAGGCGAACACGGAGGTCTGAACGAGGAGAAAAAGAAGGAAGGAAGGAAAGGAGGCGGCGCGGACACAGACCCAGAGCAAGACGGCCAGAGAGAGGAGGCATGCGGGAGCCAAAGGCCTGAAACCCGGGGCCTCTGCCACCCCGGCCCTGGGGGCGGGCCTTCTGGAGGCGGGGCCGCGAGCCGGAATACCCGAGCTGCGGGCTTATCGGAGGCGGGCCCTGGGGTCTCGAAAGCGGTGTTCTGAGGGGGACGGGCCCTCGGGAGGCCGGCCGTGGGGGATGGCGGGCCTGTTAGAAGGCGGGGCCGGGAGCGCAGGTCCTGGGGACTTGGGGTCTTGGAGGCGGGGCCCTGGGGCGGGAGTGCCACCAATCCCGTTCCTCGGTGCCCCAGAAGCGCAGGAATGACCTCTACGGCGGGAGGAATGCAGCCGGCGGCCCCCACAAGGCCCTACCCCCTGCGGCCTGCGACCCCACAGGGGTCCCCGCAGTCCTGATCGGGGCACCTGCCAGGGCGGGCTACGGGCGTGCTACCGAGGCTCTGGGCAGAATCCGATTGGCCCATTTTGGGTCACGTGCCCTCCCCTGAGCCAATCATGGTGGCTATGAAGTGGCGTACTCTGAGCGGCCATCCCGGGCCGCGTGGCTCCGGGGCGGGACCTGTGGTGGACCGCCCCTCCCGGATCGCTCCGAGCTGGAGGTCCCGGCAAGCGTCTGTCCCAGAGGCATCGGAGATCCCCCGAGCAGAAAGGCGGGTGTCCACTTTGGCAACTTGTCTGACTGTATTTGGCTGGGTCAGCTGTTCGCGTGTGCAGCCGAGCTCCAGGCCGAAGGGGGACAGCCGGGCCCCGCTTTCGGCACACCTGCCGTGGGGACAGGTGGGAGGAGCCAGGGCAGACGCGGGAGCCCCAGAGTGGCCCCTGACCCAGCTGTCAGCTCTCCGAGACGTCCAATGGCTGGCAGAGGGCGGCACGGGCTCGCCGTTACGCTGGGGTGTGGCCGACGAAGGGGCAGGAGGTTTGGAGACAGTAGAACCCGTTCGTGCGCAGTGCCACAAGGTGTCTCAAAAGCGCCCAGCGTGACTCCCTCCTCACCGGGAACCTGGCCTTGGAGAGTGCAGGGAGCTCAGACAGCAGGGACTGAGCCCCACCCAGGTCGGACCCTAACCCCGTCCTCATCAGGCCCTGCCTGGGGTCTGGCTCCAGAGTTTAAGCCATTAGAGGAAGGTCAGTCCACAAGAGGGCGGGGGCCCATCCCTAGTGCGGGGCCTTTAGGCTCTGGGCTCACTGTGGACCTGGGAGGAAGGGGGTGCCCAGGCCCAGCTGCTGAGCAGGGGCTGAGACTCCACGGCCAGCTTCTCTATGCCAGGCTGCAGCTCAGACGCCTAGAGATGGAGATCCAGCCTGAGAATTAGGAAAGCCAGAGTGGGATCTCTACAAAAGGGTTTATTTCTTTCCAGCCACGTGGGCATAGCACTTTCTGGGCTGGGGGTGCAGGAGAGTCCACACCAACGCCCCCCTGGGGGAGAGACATCCCTGAGTAGGCGCTCTGCGCCCTCCCTGTCCTTTCTCAGCTATATGAACTGGGCTTCAGCAGGGGCTGGAGCAAGCAGGGTCAGAGGGCAGGCCTTGACCCCAAGCCTCACCCCCCAGCACAGGCTCTGAGGCTTCTTGTTGCACCTGGGGGAGGGGACCACTGCTCAGGGAGAGGCCAGTCCCCAGTCAGGTTGACATCCTGTCCAGAAGGTCCAGGTTAGACTGAGCCCTGAGAGCAGGATAACAGGCTTGAGAGAGGGGGGTCCATGGAACTAGAGGTCTCCTGGGATGTAAGCCCCAGCCAAAGTCACAGTGATAATTAGGATCCCCCTTCCAGGTAGAAGCCCCAGCCAGGATCCCCAAGGTGTCCTCACCACCACTGTGGGGGCCCAGGGGTCTTCACAGGGCCGTCTCCTTGGAGACCTTGGTCCCCAGCTGCCGGGGAGGCTTGAAGCTGAGCACTTCTTTATATGTGACACCTGGGTCGGGGTGGGAGAAATGGACCATCAGGGGAGAAGGGGCCTCATCACCCTTCAGAATCACCTCCTAGGATTCACACCCAGGGTGGAAGCCAGTGACCCAGGAAGAGCACTGGGTCCAGCGCACTGGTACTTGCCCTGACCAGCACTGAGTCCTGTGAGGTGGGGTTGGGGGAGGGGAGAGCTCCCAGGCCCAGAACACAGGCTGTTCGCCACTGACCTAGGGGCCCACCTGGTCCCCAAAAACATCGGAGCCAGAAGTCATTGCTGGAGTGCAGGTGCCAGACAGGCTGCTTTTGTCCCACACACGTGACTTCATCCCAGGCTAGGGCCACACTCAGCCCACCTGTGTCCATCCACAGGAGCTATCCACCCTGATGGGGCTCCTGCCACCCAAACCCACTGCCCCTGGGCATAGCCTGGTGTAATGAGCAGACAGTGTCCTAATATAAATCAGTGTGTCTACTCAAGTGGAGCCACTCAGAATCCCACCAGAACACACCCCAGTTTCTGGATCCAGAATATCCACCAAAACTTAAATGAGAATTTCCACAAACACCCACAGTTTCTACCTTCCTCGCCTGGTGGTCATGGCCCCTGAAATGTGTTCCCAGAGCAAGCCATCCCAAAGGAAGGGAGAAGGCCTGATTTGCTTTCCCTCTGAGCAGTTTGCAAAGGGACAGGTTCTGCTCAGCCTACCCCAGCATTCCCATGCTCACCTGGCCAGTGCAGCACCTGTTTGGGGGACACTGGTCCTCCACAAGCCCAGTTCAGGAAACACTGTGTGTTTAGAGCAGGCGATCTGTGTGGTTTGCCCTGCCCATGGCACCCATGTGTTCCTGCCCCATCAGGTGCCTCCTAGGCCATTGATCTAACCCTAACACCGGGGTCAGTCCACACAGGGGAGGTCTGTGTGAAGCTGGCTATTCCCAGGGAAACAGGAGGTGATGAGAGTTTGCATTCCTGACCAGGGGCTCAGTCACAAACAGGTCACGTGTTCACCATGGTCTGTAGTAAAAGCAAAAGCTCTTACCACTGTGTGTGGGTGGGGACCACAGAAAGGATTCTGTGGCCCGTGGCTTTCAAGTTATCTTCTTTAGCACCAGAAAACTTTCATCAAACCAAACCAAACTTATAAGCACAAATAAGGGCAGGGCCCTGCCAGAGGAATCGAGCAGCCCAGTGGCCAAGGAACAGGGTCTGAGAATCACCAGTCCCGCCCCACCCCAGCCCCATGTGCAGCACCACGGCCCCAGGTCTGAGGCAGAGCCAGGATGGGACCTAACTGCTGTCCTCAGATATGCTCAGCACCCTCCAGGCTGGTCCTGCAGCCACCAACAGAAAGACACCAAGCGCAGCCCTCATTGCCTGCTATTCTGCAAAGCCAGTCCCAGCAAGGGGCCTGAGGACCTGGCAGGTGTCCCTGGGCCCAGCCTGAGGCTCAGCATGTGCTGGTCGGGCCCTGACAGGTGAGGGCAGAGGCCTTTGGTGTAAGACAACAGCCGGTGCCAAGCCCGGTGGCGCTGAGCACGGGCTTCGGTGGGTCTGAGCTGCTCAGCGGGACTAGAAGGGATGGGCAAGGGGTGTGGAGGAGGCTGCCTGGGGTGGGCCTTATCCTGCTGGCGGGACAAGAGGGGTGTGCAGTAGTCAGGTGGGAGGGGTCCTAAAAGGGGCAAAGAGGGGCGCCTGCGTGGCTCAGTCAGTTGAGGGTCTCCTTCTTGGTTTTGGTTCAGGTCATGATCTCAGGGTCGTGAGATCGAGCCCTGTGTCAGGCTGCACACTCAGCAGAGTCCGCTTGAGATGTTCTCCCTCCCTGTCCGCCCTGCCTCGCCCACACACACGCCCTCCCCCATGAAACAAATAAGTAAATCTTTTTTTTAAAAGCAGGGACAGAGAGAGACAAGGACAAGCTCAAGAGGTAACAGTGGAGCTCTGGGGGACAAGTGGGTGCAGAAGGGCTCCAGAACGGCCCAGGTCTCTGGCCAGGACATGGGGAAGATGGGGGCAGCCCTGGGGCTGGGCCGGCAGGGTAGGGAGAGGCTAGGTGCTCACAACTGCCCTGAGCCGGGAGCTGCCTCCCAGTTTCCAGAACTCACCTCCGGCTCCTGTTAGTTCTGAACCCCCTGCCAGGGGCATTCTTTCACCCTTCGGCTCCAGCCAGAGGTCACCTTGGCCAAGAAGCCCCACTGCCCTCTGACTGTTGTATTCCTTACATGACCTTCATCCCCAGGTAGGGGACCCAGAACTCTGAGCCCTGCACTGGGCTCCCAGGGTCCCTCCACAGGCCCTGCCCAGAGCCCCCCCCCAACTCACGTTTCCACTCATCCAGCGTGCGGTCCATATCATCAAAGGACTCGTCGTACTTCTGGGCCTTGGGCTCATCCTCCGTGTCCTGCAGTGACTCGAAGTAGGGGTGGGTCAGCGCCTCGGCCGCAGTCACCCGCCGCTCTGCATCTAGCACAAGCATTTTCTCCAGGAGGTTCACAGCTGCGGGGAGGGCTGGTCAGGGAGGGTCCCAGGCCTTGATGCCCTCGTCACTGACCCAACACTCCCCCCCAGTCCAGTCCTACCCAGAGGACTTGCATTAGTCAGGATGGATGCGAAATCCTTCTTCTCCAACTCGGGGAGGCCCTTCATGTAGTTCTTCGCCTTTTCAGAAAAGAAAGGGTAAGGGACCAACCCACAGACCCAGGCCCAGCCCCTCCAGCCCCCGTCCAGCTCCCGACTGACATCGGCACTCTGCAGCCTCTGCACAAACTCAGCGGGAGGCGTCCCTGTCACCTTCATGATCTCCTTCAGCTGGTCCAGGTCTGTGCTGAGGTGAGGAGCACAGCACAGGGCCAGAGGAGCAGGGCACACCCCCACCTGGCCGGAGCAGCATGCCCAGCCCCCACCCAGGCCCAGCCTGCCCCCCCCACAAGTGTAGGATACGGTCACTGCCCTTGAACAGCGTCTTCCCTGTGATCATCTCCGCCATGATGCAGCCCGCCGACCAGATATCCACTGAGACAGAAGCCCCTGCATCAGGGCTCTGTGGGCCAGGGAGGGCGGGGGGACACCCATGGGGGGGGACACAGACAAGGGGGCCATCTAGCCTGCCACACCCTCGCCCGGCTCCCATCCCAGCTCAGCAGCCTCCCCACAGAGGAGCCACCATTGGACTTCCCACAAAGAAATGGCAGCAGGCAGGTGTGGCCTGGGAGGCTGGCGTCAGGAGTGGCTCTGAGTCTCTGGGCAGCTTCTCACCTGTCTGCGTGTAGTGCATCCAATTCAAGATGACCTCAGGTGCCCGGTACCACCGAGTCACCACATACCCAGTCATCTTGCTGTCTGCCTGCCTCGCCAGGCCGAAGTCCAGGATCTATAGTCAGAATCAGGAAGGTGGGGCAAAGCGGCCCCCAGGGAACAGGTGGGTCAGCCTGTGAGCCAGGAGAACTGGGCACACCGGGGCCTCCTGCCA